AGTACTAAGATATGAGGCCAAAAATGAAACCAGATATACAGCCATTAATACCAGATGGTAATAATGAAAGTTTTAAATACTTGTATTATAATTTTTTCTTGTTGTAATAAGCATTTCCATACCTCTTCTCACGAAACTAAGAAATGTATGTTTCTATTTGTTGTTGAATCAAAAAATAAAAAAACAGGGGGATATTATAACAATTCTAGGAGATTCTTTGATGATATTTGTTATTCCTTTTTTTGATACTGAAACTCTGAAGTGACAATTGAAACCATAGTTTATATATTACGATGGACATAAAATAAATTAAACAGTTTACCCGGTTCTTGTAATGGGTTGTTTTATTAACAGACCAGAAGATGATGTAGTCTCCTGAAGATGCTGTAACCCTCCACTCAACTTAGGTGTTTTGTTTCCACTAGAACTTGACAAGTGTACAGGAGAGTTTTTTAATGACTGATGCTGCAACTGACGAGATCTTTCAGGTAGAGATTTGGTGGGACCAAGTGGGTTGTGAGTGTTAGATGTTATACTGTTCAAACTTTGGAAACTCATCTGCCGTGTTATTGATGGTTGCAACATAGAGGATGAGATGTCATTTAGAATCCATTTAAGTTCTTCAAAATCTTCTTCATAATTCTAACAGACAAAAATGCATTTTAAAACTTTTCACTGTTTTAAAACATGAGATTATGAATTAATTTTATCTTCCTGTACTGAGACATGATGAATTTAGTTTTGAATTCTCTGGAGAACCCAATAAATTAACTTAATATTAAACTTAGTCTACGAAACGTAAATGTTATATAATTCCTCCCAAAAAATACCACCACCACTTTACAGGCAGATCTTACAGAAGACAAAACAAACTTATATTTTAAAGAAAGATTACAGGCTAAAATTAAAATAAACTTTATTCTGTATATGTGTTGAAGTTTATGTGTAGGAGTTTTCAAACTATGTAAACATATAGAGTATCTCAATTCATCAAAAGTACGAAACTTATTTCCTTTGTTACATTTTTATGCTTTTGTAAAAAGTAACTAAAAACTGTAAAACGATGTGTATTTGAAATGCACCATTTTGAATCATAACATGCTATGCACTTTAAACAATAAACTGTTTAACTAACATGTTACTATAACTTACAACTCTACATCTAAATGTTGCATTTCAATCTTTTCAGAATAACAAAAAATTCTTTGAAATTCTTTTGTAACTTTTGCCCAGTTCTCATTATAATGTCTGATTAGAAACAAATCTGGTTCTCCAGACATCTGGAACATCAACGGAGAAAAGCTTACTAATCTGGTTCTCCAGACATCTGGAACATCAAGAGAGAAAAGCTTACTAATCTGGTTCTCCAGACATCTGGAACACCAAGAGAGAAAAGCTTACTAACCTGGTTCTCCAGACATCTGGAACACCAACAGAGAAAAGCTTACTAGCCTGGTTCTCCAGACATCTGGAACACCAACAGAGAAAAGCTTACTAACCTGGTTCTCCTTAGTAAGTTTTTCTCTGTTGGTGTTCCAAATGTCTGGAGAACCAGGTTAGTAAGCTTTTCTCTATTGGTGTTCCAGATCCCTGGTTCTCCAGACATATAAAACATCCATAGAGAAAACCTTACTAGCCTCGTTTCTCCAGACATTTGGAACACCAACAGAGAAAAGCTTACTAACCTGTTTCTCCAGACATAAAACATCCATAGAGAAAACCTTACTAGCCTGGTTCACCATACATCTGGAACACCAACAGAGAAAAGCTTACTAACCTGGTTCTCAAGACATCTGGAACACCAACAGAGAAAAGCTTACTAACCTGGTTCTCAAGACATCTGGAACACCAACAGAGAAAAGCTTACTAACCTGGTTCTCC